GTTCGTTTGTATGCACCTGTCGCTTTGTTAGCACGCGTCATGGTGAGAGTTCCAATATACAGCAATGCCAAGATTTGACATCTACAACATGCCATTCATATTCATGGACTTGGACCCATGTTAACTGAGGGCACCCCGAATGAGAAAGACCACAGCCTGAACATTGCATTGTGGTAATTTAGGTCATTTTCAATCAGGTCATCCTAGGTCATAGAAGAGAAGACATCTAGAATGTCATTTTGCAGGGAAGCTGATCTGGCGTGGCTTGAACATGTTGGTGAAGCAGCAATCTTTGGTAAAAACACTGTACAGCGCATTGTGAGGATACCCTGCTGGAATTGCATTTTGTGGTGAGCACTGTTCCCTATGTGTTTGTTTTTGTTGTTTGTGTTCTCTTCTGGTGGAAAGTCGTTTTATGGTCCTAGCCTCTTCTAGCTTTGTGCTGTTGCAGGTCACATGGACCGTCATGTCATAAACAAGAACATTTTCCAGCTTAGTCCACCATGGTTAGGGTCTGTCCTATTACCTGTAACAGTCAGTAAAATTCAGTAAACAATATAATTATTACGATTCTTGAGCAAGGCGTTTACTAACCATCATCATCCACTGTTACGGGTATTAGGATAGACCCAAACCATAGTTGCCTCACTGTGTTTTTCTTTTGCGGCGAACCACGCCGGTCACCGCACTTTAACCGTTTTCCGTGGCGGAGGCATTTCATAGAGAGCCAAGGTTGGACTCATGCCATTCTATTTTAGAGGTCTTTGATCTCTATAGGATGCCTTGCAAAACCTCCAGCACTTTGCGCGCGCAGCATCAATCACCTAATGATTTTTTTTTGTGTGCACTCTGGCTCACTAACACCAACTGCAACTGGATGTGGAAAACTGTCCGTTTGTGGAGGAACATCTGAACTTTTGACCGATTTTTCTGACGCGTGGCGGGGATTCTTGACCTAGTTTCAGCCGAGGTATGTTGCATTATACACCTCAGTTTCGCAATCCCTTTGCGGAAGGCACATGCAACTTCTCCGGATTTCTCCAAGGGTCTACTGACCATCCACTGAAGGGGTGTAGTTTGTAAGAATGCCACAGCAATGTCAGCAATGTTCACAAAGTTATCGACAGCATCATCGCTTTGATGAGCAGCTTAGCGGCTTCGTGGAGCCTTGCTTCGTAGAATCGTTTTTGCGTTTCACCCCTTTTTGCCTGAAAAGAGCGGTGGGTGCGACCAGCTTAGCAGGACGACGCCCAGCTTTTTCACTGAACCTCGGCGTTCGGCCGAAGCGCGGTGATGAAAACCAGCGTGGACGGCAGGGATGAGTCGTCAAGGCTTCTGCGAATCGAGTTGGGGAAGTGAGAAGTTGGTCTTGTGGTGTTAGTCGGTCTTTGCCCCCAGAATGAGCTACTTATTGTTACTTTACATGTTGCACGAGAAGGTCATGTGTAATGAATGAAGCGACCTCAAATGACCTGCTGGGCCAAAATTTCCTAGTGATGTCGTACAAAGATCAGACGTAGAACATTTCAGATGCCGGCTATCCAGATATTATGTGTACATTGACATACACTAGATGTTGTTTCAACATGAGGCGGTTCCAATCCGCTTCACATATCCCTTTTTTTTACAACTCCCTTTGTGTGGTGTGACGTGCCCACATGGCTTCTCAAGTGCCGGCTAAACACCCAACCAAGGCGCTTCTACTGCTCCGAGCAAGATCGCCTGCACGACATGTTTGACGTGAGCTTCGCTCGTGCTGGAGGGATGAGCCAGGCGGGGCTCGGGGCGGGCTCGGGCTCGTCCGCCGTGGAGGCACGCTCAGAGCTCGTGGAGGCATCAATGAATAGGGGGAGGCATACATGCACCAACCTATGGGCAGGTTGATAAAAGCAAAACAACACATGGAGGTCATAATAGGTTGTATATCCAATGCGTTCATCAATTAGTTTGTACTAATTATCCCGAATCCCATGTATACCCATAGCATCCCATGCGATCATGATGTGTTGTTTCTATCAGTGTATACCATTTCCATATATATATATGTTCTTTATGCTATATTTATATATATATATACACAAGTATATATATATATACAATATCCCCAAAGTGCCCATTTTGAGAGGACTTCGCAGGAAGTCTTGCTTTTTGGAGGCCCACGCTGGTTTCCATTCAGGTCCGTTCTGGCTAAAGATAGGCCTTCAATGGAGCGCAGGTTTTTCCAGTGTTTCAGGTCACGACTGATCACGATCCCGTCGACTCTTGTCGACTCTTGGCTCCGAACAGTCCTACCAAGTGATTGATATCGGCCGGGTTGGAGAGTCAACTGGGGATTTGAGCCCGTTCTGAGGGGTGTGCATTTCAATACATTTCAACTGCACTCGATACAAACAGCGGATGATCATTGTAGGTACTGTTTGTTTATGTTGTTTGGGATGCATGCTGCATGCAGTCACAACATGTTCCCATGTGCGCTGCACAACTGGTTGTGACGTGACATTTTTTCCTGACTCAACTGGTTGTTGCCCTGCTGTCCGCTCAACCAGAGGCTGTTCCACATCAGCCGATTTGCGAGGACTTCCCCATCAATCCGTACTGCACCTGAGCAGAAGGAGGTCTGGGAGTGAAGCACATGAGTCACCTGAGTCACCGGATCGAATTGAGACCCATCCAGGCCGGATCGAGTGGAGACGGCCTGATGTTAGGAAGAATGCGGTGCACAGTAGATGACGGGTGATGAAGGGTGAGTTAAGCTCCAGTTCCACCAAATCTTGGGCCAATCCAGGGTTTCAACCACAACTGACAGCCTTTCACGGTTGACACCATGATATTTATATATATAAATATGTATTGGAATTCTTGTGCCTTTGACTCATGCAATTGGGGAGCCCAGCCTGGGCATTCTGGGGGTCCATCACACCTGTTCAGCTGCTGAAGCAACACAACATGTGTAATTACTTGTCATATGTATGTAATATACTTGTGTGGCACGTGTGGTGCACGCAGCACGGTTGGAGCTCCACTCCTGAGATATTGATACAAAGAGGCTTCAGGTATGCAAACCCCACGAACGATGCACAAAAGGTACCCTGAGCCGCTCCCAGGTCTGGAAGGAACGCCAGAGAGAGACTGGGCGTGACAGCATGCCTTGAGAAGGCCATGTTCAGGAATCAAGACGGTGATCAGGGATCCATCTAAACCTAAATAAGACTGTGATTCAGGATAATGATAATGTGTTTGAACATGTTCGTTGGTCACATGTGAAGCCAACGACGCTTTGTTGGAACACCACGGATGAGCTATCATTGGTCCTGAGTGTTGTGTGATTTAATCCTGGTCCGGACGGCTTAGGGTTGCTCCGTTTGTGCACGCGGTGCACAGTGATTGCTCAGTTGACTTTCTTGTGAGTCTTTTGGAGCTGCTGCGCTAAGATCTTCCTTGGCCCCGCCATTTGCATGCAAAGGGGTAGTTGGATGAAGAACTCATTCGAGTGTGACGGTGGGGTACCCTGAACTTCCACCCACTCATTGATTTAATCACCACAACAACTTGGACAAGTCTTTTGCCCCCCTTGGCCTCACAAGTGATCCACTTGAGGATCTAGGACCTAGGAGTCCGTTGGTCAAGACGGGCGCCTTCGATCGCCGTTTGACGATCGTCAAACGATCGTCCCCAAGGACACCAGGAGCTCAGTTGGTGGGATTGTGATCGCTTCTGGCAGCACTGTGTGGACATCCCCACAGCTTTGGTCTCAAATGTGGGCAGCTTCTGAAAAAGAGCCGGGGAGGGTGCCAGACCGGCAGTGTGGCAATGTGCGGGGCACGGGGGACAGCAGCGCGGCTGGCGGCTCTTGGCAGAGGATAGCAACATTATGCAAGATTTAGACTGGCCCTGGTCTTGGTTTGGGAATTGGGACCTGCCCCATGATGGTCTAGCGGAAATTCTAGAAAACATGCAACACTGTTAACTACAATTGTTTGAGCTTTGCCGAAAGTTGTGAAACCACTGTGAAATCAGGAGGGTTGCCACACAGTTTTTAGGAGCGTATTTTCCTTTCCTATACAATATGTACCAATTGTGTTCGATCTTCAAATTTATTTAAGGGGTTGTTGAGAAGTGCAACTCGCTCCCTCATTGTCCCTATATATATATATACATACCTGATGGAGGAACAATGGAGAAATCGAAGCATGTTCAAGAGACATGCGTAGCTCATGGCTCTTCCAATGGATGCCGTTGGATTCCATGTTTCCAGCAACATCAGAGCCAACAACATCAGCCCCACCAGTTCCGGCCGACCTCCGGCAGGCAAGAAGTCGCGAAACCATGGAAGACCCAAGACCTGGGTTCGCGCCGGCGCTCGTAGCAAGAACCACGGTCAAGCGACTTGGTGGCCCTGCAAACCGCCGCGCGGAGCCGTGAAATTGTTTGGGCAAGGACTCAGTTGATCATGTGGGATGAATAACCCACACGTTTTTTTTCTAGGAGCCCCAGCCCATGGTATGATGTTTTTGTTTGTAATTTGACCCCCCTCCAAGGGAATTCTAGTAGACTATCGTACATTCAGCATTGCCAGCAAGAGATGCAACAGAACGTCAGCGTAGGATTCCAGAAAGGCATGTTCCAAACAAACTGCACCTACTATGATTGGTGTGTTCTGTCCACATCATGTTGCTTGTTTTGTCAGTGTGGGATTTCTACAAATGCTAGGCTGTTTTGGCATTTGTCGTAGTTAGTCAGGGCCAAGGCAAGGAATTTAGCAAAATTGTCGCGCGTGTTCCAAACATGAGACAAGATCTAGACATTGAGAACTGGTTGCCCGGAGGATGCTTTCAATGTGAATGTGCAAGCTGCCCAGGGTTCGTTCGGGGAAATCCTCATCAATCGCAGTTCGCAAACGCTTGGGAGAGTGCTAGAAGCCCTGGAATTGTAAAGTTTCATAAGCGACCTACCGCATCTATTTTACATAATCTCGGTTGCTACATGGGGATCTCAAATGTGTACCTTGACAAGGATTGAGGTGGAAAAATCCATTTTATCAAGGGTCGTTTGAAACGAGTTGTTAGAATGCGTTTGGCATAAAATGGATTGAAGGAAGGCCTGACTTGTGGCCGACCTTCACACAGCAACTTTGTTTACATGTTGTACAGTATGTTGGATTTTTGTCTAGACATTTGTTGATGCCAATTTGGGACTTAGTAGATGTTTTTCCGCCCCTTTAGGCAGGGGTCCTTAAGTTCAAAAAATACCGAATAACAGCACTTCCAAGATCCAAAAACAAAACATTGGCAAAAAGAGCGTCCTGCCTGAGGTCCTGTTAAGCAGACCGTGAAAGATCTACTGTGCCGTTTCTGGGGTTAATGTGGGCAATGTTCTATACATGGATGGTTTTCAGGGTGGCCATTGAGATGACTTTGTCACCCGAGGTGGAAGATTACCAAACAGAGATTGATGGCACTGGCCTTGGATGGCACAAGCAGGTCACAAGCATGTTGTGTGAAGATTCTGACATGCCCGTATGTCCTCAGATACAGTGTAAGATACTCAGCACTCTGTAAAACAAAAACTGTGCGCGTTGATATGGATGAAGACTTGCCTAATATTCTAACGGCATGCTTTCTGAAAAATATCTCCAACTTGTACGGGCTTGGGATAGATGTAAGTCGCCCAGGCACTTTGTTGTGCAGTCATTTGATGGTGCTTTCGCTTTTCAAGTTCTCCAGTTCTCCAAGCCATGGGGGTCAAGGTAAGACAGGTGCCAACACCATCGAAGTGGCATGGACGCCTCCCGTCAAGGAGGAGACATTGGCACGCACAGTGCGTTCACACCGTAGCTTTTATATAGTGATGTCCCAATCGATGAAACTGGAACATCAATGACACATCATCATGTACAATCATATAGACTCTTGACTAATACGCCCCCCATATGGAGAGGATTTCCAATTCAATTGGGAGGGCTTATGGTCCTCAAGAGTCTACAATAAGTGGTCACTTCCTTTTTCTTGCTTCTTGGGGAACCTCCGCTGGGCCACCGCCCCCGTTCTGCCTCGCGCCTTCATCGACGCCGTACGCCGCTCCTCGCTTCATGCCTCGGCCTCCAGGAGGCACCGGAACCGGTGCGCGAACTGTCTCCAGCCGGGAGACCCGACGGGGGATCGGGTGGCGGAAGGGCGGATCCACCCCGGGCCATGCGGAGCTCAACATGGTCCCGGAGAGAGATTCAGAAGGGGCGTCAGAAAGGGCTGGAGAAGGTCCTTCTTCGCAGCTAGAGAGCTGGCCTCAAGCGTCCTCAAGCGTCGTGCAATTGTTGGACCACCTGGTCGGTCATGGGGAATTTACCAAACCATAAAATCCAACATGGACCCCACCTGTGGCCAGGCGGTGCCCACGTGCGGTCCCAAACCTTCCCCACCCATCCCGGGACACACCCCCAACGTGCATGTGGCCGCTGAAGGTGCGTGGGCCGGTCGGCCGCGGGCGACAGTGCGGCGCCCAAAATGGGGTCTTCGACCTGAGAGTCGACGGAGATGATAGGAGGCCCCAAGCTGCACCCACACAGAGGGCGATGATAGGGGCGGACACTGTCAGGCTTTGTGCCAGTTCATGGGAGTTGACGGGTGCTTCTGGGTGGCGGAGATGGTTGATCCCACTGACAGTGAGTTGAAACCACCAACCAGGACGTCCTTTTGATCCTTTTGGGCCATCTCTCTGGCGTTGTTGGGCCATCGCTGGACATAGGAGTTGTTTTATCGTTTTTGTTACTTTCTTTGACCTGTTTGGAAGCCACTTGGGTCACGGCAGAACTAAAAAAGACCAACTCTTTTTTTGGAGCAGCGCTTGGATTCCAAAGGAACAGTTCTCTTTCACAGCTGCAACCGTCCCTTCAGCCACTGTTCCACACGTGCCCGGCCCACGCACCAGGAACACTTTGCCCGCATGGATGACCAAGAAAGAAGAAGCTCCAAACCCTTCGATCCCAGATCAAGGCCAGTGCTTAGTTGGTGTCATTGTTTTTGGTGTGTGTTGCGTTTCTTTCCAACAAATCTCGTTTTCGACTTCTTTCCGCTTGATATGTCTCGTTGCCCCTTCGGGCTCGCTGCGAAGCGGCACCGTCCAGGCGAAGCGGCACCGACCACGCTCGCGCTCGTGGAGTCCAACGGCGCGGGCCGCGGAACCCGCGGCGCGTGCCGCGGCCTGCCCCTGTTGGGCGTTTCCCGGTTTAGGGGGGAGAAAACTCGTGGGAAAAGGCCCACCTCTTTAGAGGAGTCCTATACGAAGAAGTAGTTCCATGCCACCGATGCTTCGCGGCGCGAAACGTGGACGTTCATCCTTCTCGCGACGTTCTTACGGCGCTAGAAACTTGTGCACGCGGCTGCACGCGGTTCAGTAGATGAAGTGCTTCGCAACGCATGCGGCCGACTGCCGGCGACTTGTCCGTCACCGCCAAGAGAAATAAGATTGAAGGATACTCCATGGCTCTCATCAGTGTGTGGTGCAACGGGCCTTTCTGTGCCCGAATCTTCCAAGAATATTCAAGAATCATCTCCAGCTGAGCACGTTGCCACATAGCATGCTGTAGCTGTAGCCATTTGCGACACGTATCACTCGTCCTTGAGTTTCAGGAATCTCCCAGGATTGGTTAAGGGAAAGGAACATCTACAGGAAAGCCATAGTTAGTTTTGGAGGTGAAAGGTATGGGTTTCCTGCAGACTCTTCCCTTGAACCAGTCCTTGAACCCAATCGAGAATCTCAGCTCCGTTCTTTGGACCGGAGGCGACGCCGCTGAGCCTGCGTCGTCTTCAGCAGAGACTCCAGTAGAGCCTCCGCCAGCTATGCCAGCTCTGGAAATCCGAGGTTGGACTTGGGATGAGAGTGGCAGAAAGACCCTTGTTGGGGCCCATTGGGGGCCCCGTTGAAAGACTTTTTTCCCCAAACAGTTTACTGTTGGGGTTCTATCTTAGAAAAATAGAGCTGGCCACACTCACTGGCCGCGCCCCTGAACTCTGTGGCTGGGCCTTGTCCTCGTCTTGGCCGCGCCCCCTGAACTCTGTCAACTCTGTGGCTGGGCTGTGTAGCTGGGCTCTGTGTCCAGGCCTTGTCCTCCTCTTGTTCCCCAAACAGTTTACTGTTGGGGTTCTATCTTAGAAAAATAGAGCTGGCCACACTGACTGGCCGCATTCCTGGACTCTGTGGCCGGGTCTTGTCCTCCTGCTGTCCTTCTCTTGTCTTGCTGTTGTCCTCCTCTTGTCCTTCTCTTGTCCTCCTCCTGTCCTCACTGACCAGCCCTGGACACACTGACTGGCCGCGCCCCTGAACTCTGTGGCCGGGCTCTGTGACCGGGTCGTGTCCTCCTCTTGTCCTGCTCTTCTCTTGTCTTCTCTTGTGGCCAAAAAATTAACCATGTCGATGCCGACAAAAATCATTGATTAAGCAATTTGCTCTTGGGGGGAAGGTCAAGAAGTCGTTTTTGATGAATTATATTATATATATATATATATTAATAATATTGGTCCCAACGATCGTTTTGAAGCTGTTTGGGGTCTATGCTGGTATAATTTATTTTCCATATGTTTCCCGAATCCATGTCTTGGCACATCGACCCGCTGTCGAGTACCCGAATTGATCGGCAAATATGTATATGGAGTGTTTGACGGGGTAGTGTCTTTGATTAAAAACACTACTTTCCGAGGTTTTTGAGCACAGCCTCATCAATACTGGTTCTGTATCCCTTGGTCGCCTCTTATGGCTCTTTTCCACCGTTCGATGTGGCTCTTTCCGCTGTTCGATGTGGATGGTGATTCA